GCAATAATTTACTAGTTGATGTACCATTTGTTTTCAGTGAAAACAGGTATAATTTTGTTGTAATTATTAGGACTTTAAGACCTGTTGAATCAATAAAGGTTTCTGTTCTGTTCTGTTCCTTAACCTTTGGTCTGAATCACACTGAATTATATAAAAGCATTTTCCACAGCTTTCACTGCTTCTCTTTTCATTAACAGAAAGATTTTTGAATTTAAAGAGTCACTCATTTCCCAGAATGCATGCCACCTCTTGCATTTGCTAACTTTTCAGTCACCCAATTTCAATCCTCACTCCGAGTCTTGGAATAGGCCTCTGTTTTATAGCATCTAAAGGTAAAGGTTCCCTTGCTCTAAAGCCAGTCAAATCCGACTCTAGGGTTGCGGTGCTCGTCTCCGTTTCAAAGCCGAAGAGCCAGCACTGTCCGAAGACGTTTCCGTGGTCATGTGGCCGGCATGACTAAACACCAAGGTGCACGGAACGCTGTTACCTTCCCACTGAAGTGGTACCTATTAATCTACTTGCAATTTCTTGCTTTCGAACTGCTAGGTTGGCAGGAGCTGGAACTAGAGACGGGAGCTCACTCCGTCATGTGGCACCCAGGTCTCGAACTGCTGAACTACTGACCTTTCACAGCCTGCATTTCAGCATCTTAACCACTTGAGCCACCGCAGCTTCTTCTATAGCATCTATAGAAGAACAAATTATAACAGTATTAGCATCATTCAATGTGGGCCCAAAGATTGTCAGCAATGTTTACATTGTGAAAGTATAAGCATAAAACACAGATTATTAGCAAAGAAATTCAGTAGCTCCACTACAATAGGCCACTATGACTGATAGGACATACAGAGCTATTAAAATTGGTGTATGGATTCTTGCGGTATATTCAAGGAACGTAACTTTCATATACTATGTATGTCACTTTTTCATCTCAGCACCTATATAGTTGAAATCTACTGACATAGGGGATATTCTGTAGGAAGGTGTCGCACTGTCAGGTTATCATTTGTATAGCTGATAATGAGCCACATCAGGATGCATTCATGTGCCAGTTGCAATACTGACCTCTGCAGTTATTCTATGGGTTCAGTTATTGCGAGTTGAGTTCCACCCACTAGATTAAAAGCACTCCATGCTCACAATGGCAATATGTAATTTTGCCATGAATTCAGAATGGAATGAACAACCAACTTTTAGCAAATATACTATTTTAGCCTGTAAATATGTTTCTTCCTCCTACTACTTAATTTAGTTTATGGATGACGGTCTGTTTCCTGAGTTCAGTGGGTAAATACCTTCTGACATTTAATAGAACATGGATTTTTCCAGTATTATACTTAAGAATGTAGTGCCTCGTTGCAAAAAAAGTTTGAAAGATGAGTGGTCTCAAAGGAGAGATTGTTTATTACCTTGGATGCATCTCTTGCTGCCCTTCTGTAGGGTCAAAAAAGGTCCTGTTTCCATTAGGAAAGGGGAAAACAAAAACCTTTGCTCATGTTTAAGTGTTGATTGATGTGGAATGTCCTGCTCTGAGATTTTGGTATGAAGTATTGGGGGGGGGGGGCCTGGAGGAAAAGGGAGATCACTTTTGCTAGCACTATGGTGTTAATTAGTGGGGGATGTCCACTCCAGGGCATCCCCAGAGCATTATTAATAACCTTGCTGGTAGGGAACATTCTGGCCCTGGGCTACCTGAGGGAAAGTTGAAAAATCTCATTACAGATATCCTCACAAGCAAACCTGGACTCTCCTTGGAAGCCAGGGGAAGGAACATCTTATTAATAACTTGGTGTTGGCTAAAAATAGGAATGACCTGATCTAGCTGCTGTCAGGGGAACATTAACCTGATACTCCTTTAGATTATCCTTTCTTTCTCAGCCACCGCCATCCCTTGTGCAATCCAAACTGAGTCCACTTTAGATACCTATTCCCATGGTTATTTTGGGGGCGCAACTTCCAAGCCCCCCCTCCCCCCACCACCACCAGGCTCCTGCCACCTCCTCTGCTGCTGCTTCTCCCAGGGTCGGCTGAGTGCTCCTGCCGCACCTGCCTGGGCGCCAGCAGGCTCCAGATCAGGCAGCAGAGGCACAGCAGCGGCGGCAGGAACAGTTACTTTTTTCCCCACCATAGAGAACAATGGAGGGGATAGGGGCAACCTGTTTGAGGGCCCGTAGAATTGAATCCCCTGGTCCAATGCTCTTGAAACTTGGTTGGTATCTTGGGGAGAGGCTCCAGCAGCTACCCTGCGATTTTGGAGCCTCTCCCTCAAGCCCCTTCCCCTCCATCCCCCAGAATATACCCTATGTTTTCACCATTGACTTCAATGGCCCATAGGATATAATGGGTCTGAAATTGACATTGGGCTGGAAAGACTCCCCAATCTGCTGTACT